TAGAGTGATTCCGTCATCTTTCAGATCCTCCTCCTTGATTTGCGCCGAGCATTTGTCGAGGATCAGAATGACCTTGCGACCGGCAACGTGTCGGACGAAGGCTTTCAGCCATAGTTTAAACACGTTGCGATTCATCCACTCGTTCTTCTTGGCGTGACAGGCCACGCCCAGGCTTCTGTGGTCTACGTTGTTTGAAACAGAGTGGGCTTAAGAACTATCCGATGACCTACAGCGGAAACTTGTCGGACCCGTCTGCGTTGCCTCAGATGGTCGTCGTCATCGCTCTTTGCTCTGCTTCTAGACCGCCAGCTGGTATGTCGAAAGCGATAAATCGGCCTGCAGTCGGTAGAATAGACCGGTCTCATCCATGTTGTAGATATCGGCGGCGTCGAACGGGTCCAATTGAGCGCCGATTTCCGGCAGGCCTTCTTCCAGTGCTCCGACGTCGATAGATCCGGTTTCGCCAAAGCGACGGCGCATGTAATTGCCATGGAGATTTTTAAATTTATGCAGCCAACAGATTGATAATGCGGGTGTATCCTCATCCTTGACGATTGGATACAGCGTCTTCATGAACGATGTCACTTTTTCCTGGATAAGGTGTCCGCTGATGTTGACAACACCCTGATACTCAATAATTTACCACGCAAGCGCCGTCTCCACCAGCGGGTACGAAAACGCACACTGTCGCTTGTAATGGAGGGCTGCTTCGCTCTTGGCTGAACCTAGCAGATATGCAGAACGCTTCATACCGTTACTAATTTTTTATTGGGTGACCGTGACTTCATGCTCCTCCAGTATCCACCGACACAGAGCTTCCTATGTGAGTCCTGGACGTCTCTCCTTCTCCGTGCAGATCGCCTTGCGAAGGATATCTGCGAGGGTATGGCCATTGGCGACCATGCTGAAGGTGAAGACGTGTATCACCGTTCTCTTCAACCCTATCCCCCTAACGTTGCTATTTAATAATATCCTTATTTAATCAAAATTTGGCGGTCCCAGCTATATCAAACAAGAGGGACTATACTGTATCAAGAGTGGTCGGCCCGACGTTGAGCAAGAGAGATATTACGCGACTACCCAACCCCTATTACCTAATCTACACTTCGCAATAGGAGAAAGAGCAGTCTCGATCACTGTGGTAGAATGTTCATGTCATTTATCTTGTGCTATACATCTACCTACTTTTTTCGCGTGATCCTTCCTGTCCACTCGATTAGCAAATATTGCACATCTTGTCGGACAATGTATTCAAATTATGAACACAAAGTCATCGGTCGCATTCACCATCGCATTCCCGGCGCGCTTCCTGCGCGATCGTACTTGCAGCGACACTCCTTTTAAACAAAGACCGATTTATCAAGTGAAGAAGGCCCTACTTTCCGCCAGCGTCCAATGAAAAGCAATAATTAATAGAAGTGTCGATGTCAATGTTGTTGACCCGGAACCATCGAGAAAATGTACTTGGGGGGCGAACAGCCTCAAGCAAATTTAAAGTAGCACCGATGCCCATAAGGCGCAGAGCTAGAAAATAGAATCGAATGACAGAATGAAAGCACTAAAAATTATTAGCAGATGCGAGAAGGCATATCGTGTTGAATTTGATGTACAGTGGCATATTGTAAAAATTAGTATTACACTCCTTCTTGTTTATACTGGAAAACTTATTATTATGTAATATTTTTGAGTATTGTTAGATCATATATTGTGTTCCCCATCTATAGCCTGTAACGTTTTTTGATCGATGTCAGTCAGCTACTCCCCACCCCATATTTCCTTAAGCACAAATCTATGACCATAGATGACTAAAGTATGCTACTAGCTTCGCATTTAAAGTCTCGAATCTTGATTTGACAATATTCCCGCGAAGTGGTAGGACCCTAAAGCTCGGAGAATTTCATCAATTTTGGCTCGCGGCGAGCCACATTTAGCCGCCCCGAAATTTCCCGCGTAGAATTTTTCTCGATTTCATCAAAATAGTTTTCATGCAACCCATTTTGCAGTTTCAAAAAGTGCAAAAACGGCTGTCGTCACGCTAAACTACATTGATTCGCCTGTTTATGTCCTCAATTTACTTCGAAAGACGCAGGCATTCATAAAAAAAACCCATCAAAACCTCTCACGTTATGCCAAATTTTGCAAAGCACTGTAATTGGCAGCAGCTAAAATGTTCATATCCATTAGAATTAAATATTTACCCTATGATGCGACCGTATACTTCTTTACGGCGTATTCGGCGGCCTTTCTAGTCAGGCTCTAGCGATTTACGTCCATGTATCGAAAGCAGTTTTGAGTATGGCGGCGGATAGTTGGGAGGGAGACGGATGCAAGGAAATTTGGGGCCATCTAGTCGGTGCGTTTGAACGTGCGGTCGCAAATTTTTCGAGCTTGGCATTTTGGCTGTCCCCAGAACATTTCGATAAAGATCAGTACGCAATACAACAGTGTAAAATTATGTGACGGGCGGCCGGAGTGATAGTCCCTTTCGTAAAGCTTTTTTGGCTCGAAAAATCATTGCGGATGACACTTCGGGCGCGGCAACAACCCTCATGACCTGCAAGTTCCGTAGCCATTTGTTAGGGCGCGGCATGTTGGTGTTTGTTGACAATAACATCGGCTGGTGTTGGAAACACGCAAAATACGTGCTTATTGTGTACAGTGCGACTGTAGCGTTGGAATAGGCGTTTTGGTTGTGGAAACGGCGAAAAAAGATTTATGATTTTGGCCGCCAAAAAAATTATAGGTTTGAGCTCGTTATCTCGACCAGCATATGGATGTCTCAAGTTTCACGTATCTTATGGGCGTGACCACAACTTGCACGAGTGGCGCCAGCGTCTTGCGCCTCATACTTCGGTCGCCAAGGATTATTGCATCAAAGGTTGGTAATGAGCGAATCGCTCGCAAGACGGGCTTTGCTATGGAGGTGCACATGTTACAAGATCGTCTGACGTAACAGCTCGAGTGCATTCATGCAGATGCACAGAGAGGTCGTCGACGGTTTCGTCTTCTTTTGGCTAGCAACCAATTCCCATGGTGCACCAAATTAAACTGACTTTGTCACATGTTTGCGCAACTATGCAACCTAACATTTGTGCTAGTAGAACATGAATGGTCTATCATCTTTGCAGCGCGTCTCTAACCAGAAAGTAAGTTGTTTTGCGCACAGCGTCGAGCGTCGAGCGTCGAGAAACATACATCGATCCATCTACTCGACGAGTTAGACACACTTACCACGCCGGTTTGCCAACAGAGGCGTACGTGTTGCATTTCTCGCAGTCGCCTGTCGTCGCGCACGTCTTGTTCGCATTCCAACAGAAGTCCTGGAGAGATCATGTAACTCAGGACCCAAACTGGGAACCTTTGGTCTGGCAGAAGCTTTGCCGTCTCACATTGTTGTCACAGATCGATGAGCAGGTGCGTGCTGTCAAGTCATGTCCTCTTTGTAGCGTGCGTTTTCGTTGTCTTCGATCCGCACACACGAGAGCAGTAGACACTTGGGCTACATGTACTGTAGGATACGTAATTAGCACTGTGTAAGAATCGGGTGGTTGGTGGGAAGCTAGCGGTGGGAAAAGCTCAGATTCAATGACGCGTTCGTCGTAAGTGTTCGGGCGAGCGTGCAGAAAGAAAGCGCGGGTGGACAACAACGACCCTCTGACTACGAACATGCCTGACCGAGATTCAGTTGCACAATTAAACTGCAATGGATCTCGAATGCAGCAAACGAGTCGCTAACAAGATCATCTCCGCCAGAGACACAGGAAGGGCTAGAGTTTAGTCTGGTAGACTAGCAACAGAGCCAACCTCGTGACTCAAGTAGCAAAATCGTACAGAGCCTGCGAGGCAGTCTCGGTCTTGTCGATAAAGAAATGGTAACGTCTCACCCAGTGGCTGGTAGCAGACGACATTGTTGCACTAGTGTCGCATGCAGTCCGGACCTGCCGAATGCCCAACGTACGTGCTTCTTGTATCATCAGATCTATTCGCCTCAGTATGTACACTTTCACGATTGATAGAGACCGGCCTCTCCAGCGACCGCACACCTAGCAGCGCACCTCTCTCGGGAACTCGTAGCTTCCACTCCCAGAGCACAAAGCAGCCCATTTGTTGTTATGCGACGTAGTACCAGCAATGACAAGGCTTCGACGACACAAACGTCAGTGGCGTCGCCCCTCGACATGTTGAAGAACGCTGGCAGCCGTAGAAAAGACCTGCTCTGCTCCTCACAGCGGTATCACATCTGCACTGGCGTTGTACAATGCCACTGGCCTTTGCTGCCGTCGTGACGTCGCGCAGGTCGACCAAACGATCGAATATACGCTCGCGCTTCAGGCTGTGGCCTCGATCGCCGCTTGGCAAGTGCCATTACATACAACGATCTCACACGTGTGCAACAGGCTCATCCGTGACGTCGTCGTCGGGTCGTGACGTGACGACATTCCACGCGCGTCGTCGAGCAACCAAACAATCGATCTCCTCTCATATGTGCCGTGTTACGTAACACCGGATATGGCACAAGAAGGGGCTCTCTACCGACACAGTTGCCGCGCTCACCTGCCACGAGGGACATGTTCTTGTTTCTTGCTGCCTTTGAGCACAGAGACAATCACCTTTTTGTGGACGATCGGGCAGTTTGGTCTCTGCTCTCGTGCCTCGTGTTACTTCTTCGACTGGGGCGTGCGACTTCGCAGTCGCTCGCGCCGATCCGACCTCGACGACCAGCGATAGTGGCTCATCTACTGCTCTGAACTCTAACGAGTCAGCTCAGCTCGCGTCTATCGCTTCCTGACAGCCGAGACATCATACACGTCCAGCAGCTACTTTCGCCACGTGACGACCGTGAAAATTAACAGCACAAACGCCGGAGAGCCCACTGAGCTACTACAAACACTCACTTCACTTCGACGCTCGAGGTCATTCCAAAAGAGAGAGTCGAACCGCCGAGCGAGTCCAGCATTGCACTGCAACAACACCTGTACATACGGTGTATCTCGTCACCAATGGCGGAGTCTGCTCAACGCACTGACCCCCGTGACGCAAGTCCTTTGGTTAGCAGCCATACGTCCGTCACCGATGCAACTGACCGTAGCACTAGTGAGCTCCGTCACTTGCAGCGTCCGGCACACGGAAACGTCAGTCAGCTGTCCTCGCCAGCGGACTTTGGGGGTCTTGGAACGCGTCAATTTCTTCGGAAACAGTTGACAACTCCAGGCTCGGCGACATCTGCTTCGTCGTTCGAGGATAGCGTTTCCTCGAACGGATTCTCGGATGCGGGCACGCTATCGTCCGGGAGGACCAAGTCGGACCATGGCACAGCAACGTCGTATAAGCAAATGACCAAGAAACTGTCGTCTCCGAGTCGTGCATCGCTTGCGAGACATCTGATGGACACGAAATTTGAGACGAACACAGTGACTACGACCACTAGCCGTGATTTGCCTCCTGGAGAGATACTGAGCAACTTGGTGGTGAAGCGAGTGCCATTCAGCTACGATGTCAGTCAAGACGCGTCGAGCTCGAGAGCATCGGTGTCGCCTCGGACTTTGACCCAACCGACTCAACAGATCACCGCGTTGCCACGCAAGATGATACGTCGTGTCGTCATCCGCAGAACTGGTGCCGACGGACGAGTTCATGAAGAAGTGCGGTACGTCGACGCTGACGGACAGGTTGTCCAGCAACACGAACAAGTGCGTTCTGCCGAAGCTGAGACAACGACGAAGGAGTCGGCGGCTCTCTCCGGACAAGCGATCTTCAGTCGTGAGCTCCCGACGTCAGCGACTACATTGCGGCGTGTTGTAGTCCGACGGACTGGAGCAGATGGACAAGTTCACGAAGAAGTCAAATTCGTGGACATGCATGGCAACGTCGTGCGGTCGGAAGGTCGCAGTACTTCGAGCTCTTCGGAAGCTAATGAGGCGACACAGCAAGATGAGATTCCTGTTCACAGCTCGAAACGAGTCGTTGTGCAGAAGATCGAGACGGATGGAGAGGTCCATGAAGAAGTGCAGCTCGAAGATACTGATGGCAGTGTCGTTGAAAGCGATGAAAGCGATGAAAGTACATCGACTTACGGTAGCAGAGTCCAGCAGAGCAGACAGACAGCATCGGACACTTCGATGCACGAAAACTCTACCGAGGCCTTGGGCTCACGGATTGTCACGCGTCACGTACATCGCCGTACGCTGACCCGGAAGGAAGAGACTTCGGTCCCGGCCCAAGAGTACATGAATTGGGGTGACGAAATGGCTGAAGAGGCAGACAATGCACTGTTCAGTGCCAGGAGCTTCTCCAGTAGTGTTAGCAGTGTTTCGAGCGACATTTCCACTAGCCGAACGAGTCGACGCATTGTTACTCGTCGTGTAGTCACCCCGCAGCGTGTCGTTCGTCGCATGGTCGTTCGAAATGGCACGACAAGCTCTCGCACTGAAGCCGACATGGACGAACTGGATGGGGTCGATGCAGAAAGTGTTGCAAGTGAGGACGACTTCAGCAACGACGAATCGCTCGGTCAATCAAGTCGCGGTAAGTACTCCGTGGCGAGAAGTATGGAGATACTGAGCAGAAGTCGAGCAGGGGTCACTCGGTCGCCGCCTTCCGTAAGCCATGCACGTGAAGCAGCTGAGGACGCTATGGGCACATCCTCTACAGCTCCCACTGAGGGCCAGGGAGTCACGACGACATTCGATGGCGCAGGGACCATGCGAACTATCGCTCCTCTGACCGAAGTTCATTTGTCGAGCTCAGGACTGTCATGTGCTGACGTTAGCGCCCTTGATGTCAAACGAAAAGCATACAATGTCAGCGCTGTGGCAACAGGCAGCACGTTGGCTGATGATGATGTGGAGTCCCTTGCTATCGTCGCTCATCCGGCAAGTTCGTACCACGAGATTGACACCAATGGAGGAGTAAATGGCGACTTATCAATCGATGAACTAGCGACACTGGCATGTAGGGACCGTCCGACACCTGAGAAGACAGTCGTGCAGCAATCTAATGCTGGTAGATCCTGGGTCACCTTCGGCAAGGCTGGCGTAAAAGTGACACGGAAAGATGTGCCATCACTAACGGGCGATGGGGACGCAATAACGTCAAAGGCGCTTGACACTTCTGTGAGCAAGATCGTTGTTTGCGAAGTGCCCGAAGCTACCAACATGAATGAGAGGAGGATATTGGGATCGTTTGGTGCCGTTGCTACTGCTAGCAGCGACTTTCGAAATCGGGACAGCAGCACGGCGCCACTGAATTCTTTCCATAGCGGTGAACGTAAAACTGATGTTGGGCCAGTCCTGGACACGCCGGCCGATTATGCTGCAGCAAGCTACCAGGGCCATGCGTCATGGAGTTACTTCGAGCCGGATGAAGCGGTCACTGGAAAGGAGAGAATGGTTGCTGCTGAGTACAAGGAAATACCACTTGCTGGGAAATCCGCTGCTGGCACGGAAGGTGTATCACCTGATACGACGATTTCGATGCATGACGCCTTTGTGACACTTCCATCGGGAACCTCTGGAAAAACATCGGAAGAGCATGCGAATAGCGGGTATGATGTACGTTCTGCACGAGAAAGTAGCAATGGTGAGGCATCGGGATATCAAGAAGCGACGGAAGCGATTGATCGGTCAACACCTTTCCATGAAAACGTGTTCGTTCAACCAGCTTCAAGTGTCTGTGCTGCTCGAGAGAAAGGTGCAATGACGCTTGACGAGCTTGGTCACGAGGAACTTGACGCCAAGCCGTCTGCCCGTTATGCAAAGACGAACGATGATGCACATTTGGATAGGGATAGCCCCGCAACTTCTGCATCAACAATGAGCGTAGGAGTTGAGTCGGCTTCACATGTATCCCAGCAGAAGTTTGGTCGTAGCAGTCGGAAGTCCTGGCGTGATGGCCGACCAGTGTCGCGTCTCTACGGAGGCGAGCAGGCTAACGGAAACGACAGTGGCCTATACTGCGACAACGGACCAGCTGCTGTTGTTGCTGGAACTCATTTGACCGACGAGATTCGCAGCTCCACGATACAAAACGAGGTAAACGTCTCTGGATCTTCTCGAGAAGAGAACAGTGTCAGCAAGCTGAACGATGGACGAGTGACCGTGGAGAGGATGCAAATACCGATCGAAATCGAGGAAGCTTTTGAGACGGAGGAGGCAACTGGAAGCGTCGTTTCGCATACAACGCTTGAGGTAGCCGAATCCGTGCGAGCCAGTGCTTTCCTAGGTTTCTCAGGAGAAGAAGACAGCCTTTATCATTCGCCCACACTGGTGGACGTCATTGACTCAGACGATTCAAGGGTCGGTAATGCTTCCGAAAGTGAGGAGGTGGTAAAGCTGCTGTCGCTTGGCGTGGTATCTCCTGATGGCAAGACTCCTACTGCAGCCATTCAAGTTGAATCTCTGCGTCAAAGTATCTCGCCAGACGTCGCGTTGACAAAAGCGTCGAAGCGTGTTGACTCGAGCGCAACATCCAATCGAGGTATTAAGCGCCGTCCGACCGAGCTCGTTGACAACAATGAGCCGGAGCTCGACTCGGACGAGCATTTCGTTGCAATGGCGAGTCCAGTTCATGGAAAGCTTGTTCACAATGAGACGGGACTAACCCTTGCGGTCACGCCGTGCTCGCTAGCGTGGGATAAGCTGTGCCTGAAGCGCGAGATGTGGAAGAGAAGTGCAGGGGGCAACACGCCGTATGGAAGTGGTGAACTCATGCTTGACAACTTAAGTGGCTTGGTGAGGACTCAAGAGTTCTTGGTCATTACAGGCCCGTCGAAGGCGGAATGCACTGCGCTGCTGTCGTGTTTAGCCGGGTACGAAGACGACATGGAAGGTGTGGTGACCTTGAACGGCCATGCGCGGAGCAAAACAACGGACAGCTATGTCCCCTGCGTTGCGCGTGAAGACTTATTTCACGAAACCTTGACTGTACAGGAGCATTTGCTTGCTCAGACGCACCTTCGAATGGGTCATACTTATACCGATGAGCTGTGCCTGAAGCGAGTCGAGCAAGTGATGGAAGACACGGAGCTCTCTTGTTGCCGTGACAAGTTGATTGGAGGTGGTATTTTCACGCTTTGTGGGCTCACCCGTGGCGAACGGAAGCTACTTGCCATCGCAACAGCTTTGCTCACGAATCCATCGATACTTTTCGTTGAAGACCCGACCGATGGACTCGATGCGACAAGTGCCGAGAGGGTTGTTGCCAAACTGCGGTGGCTGGCGATTGAGAAAGGTTTGGCGGTAGTTACGACACTGCATCACCCATTCTCACAGTCGTATGGGCTTTTCGACAAACTTTACCTCGTTGCAGACGCATCGTGCGTGTATGATGACAAGGCTTTGGATTGTATTGCCTACTTCTCGACACTCGGGTACGTGTGCCCTGAGTACGTGAACCCCATGGACCATTTTATGCTTCAGATGGTTGTCGGTGACCGTAAACGAGATACTGAAGGCATGGCTCGACTCAGTTATCTGAAGCACGAATGGGCTCAACACAGTAGCGTTGTTTACGATGAACACGCAATCAGAGGTGCAGCAACAACGAGTCAAGACGCTGTTGTTGATGGCAGTGGCTGGCCAAGGCACAACTATCATCACACGAAATGCTGCAGCCAGTTGTGGCTCATGTGGGCTTGCCACGTACGTCGACTCTCGCGTTATGGATTTGTCTTTTGGTGGCACTTGTTGGCTGCGCTCTTGATTGGCGTCGTGTTTGGACTCGTCTACCTCGATCTCGAACTCTCTGACGAGCACGGCATCCAGAACGTCGCTGGTAGTTTTTTCTACGCGATCGTCGTGCAAATGCTTTTCAGCGCCTACCGCAGCTTTGTGTTTCTACCACGCGAGACTGCGATTGCGTTGCGAGGGTGTCACGAAAACGGTGGCGGCTTTTCCTTTCTACTGAGTTGGTTGATCACCAAGAACGCTGCCGAGCTGCCGTCCCTCATTGTTTCTTCAATCGCGTTGTTCGCGCCCATCTATTTGCTTGTTGGGATCGGCCATGGCTTCAAAGTGTATGTCTTCATGCAGATCATCATCATCTTGGCCGGGTGGACTGCTACTGGCTTGGTACTTGTAACTCTAGCTGCTCTTCGCAACGTTGTGCGTGCTGTCATTGCATTTGCCACGTTCATGGTGCTCTTTGCCCAATGTGGTGGTCTATTGATCCACGTTGGCGACATCCCGAATTGGCTCGTGTGGCTGCACCACATCTCGCCGATCAACTTCGGCTACAGGGCCATGATGGCAGTTTTCTGGGCACGGGTGGACACGATTGATTGTGACTGGACTCTTGTAAACTGCATTGCTCTCACCGGCGACGGCGTGCTCGAGTTTTACAGCATGGAGAGCAGTTCGGGACTCGAAAACGCTCTGTATCTGGCTGCGATCGGTGTAGCGCTCTTTTTCTTGGCATTCTGGTTTCTGTTGGTACTGGCGAAGAAGCGCACGAGCGGCTTCCAGTGGCGATATGACTGGACTTTTCGCGGGCAATTGGGTCAGCTTGTCACTCGTGACGCCATGGACGACAAGCAAACGGACCCGAGGCGCAGTCTGCGTGGTCCGGTCGAGCAAAAAGACCATTGCAACTCGCCCATTGCTGCAGAAGCAGACAATCACTACATTCGCGTGGAAACTCCACGAGGTGCTGACCGTGCACTGCGCAGCGTCGCTTATGTACCTCTCGGCTGGGAGAACGTGCGAGTAGCAGCGCCGAAGAAGTCGAAGAGCGAGACGACGACGCCCGACTTGCTCCGCAACGCCAGCGGATCTGTACAAAGCGGAGAACTTGTACTTATCACTGGTCCATCGCGTGATTCGAATGTGGTGCTGCTGGAGTGTCTTGGTGGGCTCCACAAGACATTGGAAGGCCATGTGACGCTCAATGGAATTGCAGCAACCGCTGACGAGGTTGCACGATATGCTGTGTACGTGGCCTCGGATGATCGCTTTTACAAAACGTTGACCGTGAAGGAACATTTACAGTCCCAAGCTCAGCTACTAGCTGGCAAGTCGAGTACTGGCTGTGGCTTAGGCTGTCGAGATGGTGCTGATGAGGAGACAATGGCGTACGTGGACACGGTCCTGGACGAGTTGGCACTGAGCTCCCAGCGTCACGTCCTCATCCAGAATCTGTCGAAAGCGGACTGCAAACTGCTCGCGATTGCAACGGCACTATTGCGTGCTCCGTCGATTCTGCTTGTCGAAGATCCCACGTGTGACTTGGATGTCTACTCGTCGCAGCGCGTTATTTCAAAACTGCGTCAACTCGCACGAGGTGGACGCACTGTGCTGGTAACAATGACACACACGTCGTCATACGTGTATGCCCTATTCGACACGCTGCACCTGCTTGCGGGGGGAGCCGCAATTTACCATGGAAAAGCGAGTGAGGCAGTGTCTTACTTTGCTGCTCTTGGGTATCAATGTTCGCGGTACCAATGCCCAGTCGCCTTCTTCGTGCGCTTGGTCTCTGAATCTGGGAATGATGAAGACCGTGATCAGACTGTACGATTGCAGGAATTGTGGTCGACGCAGTACGTGGAGACGCGTCTCGCTGACACTAGTGGCAAACGCACTATGGACGACAGAAAAGCTGCTTCTGGTAGCCGCGTTGGATGTTGCAGTCAGCTCTCGCTGTTATTTCGTCGTCAGATTCAGAGCCTTGCACCGTACCGAGTACTCTTTGGTTGGCACTCGGTCTGTATGATCATTGCGAGCCTGATCTGCGGCCTCATTTTTCTTCAACTAGACTTGGACGACCAACAAGATATCCAGAACTGGGCTGGTGCTTACCTCTTCATGGTGGTGCTGCAAATGCTCGCTATGGCGTATCGCACATTCGTCTATCTGCCGTTCGAGATGTCGATTATCGAGCGAGAGCACCGTCAGGGTCGGTATCGCATGGTCTGTTGGTACCTGACCAAAGTGGTGGCAGAAGTGCCTGCAACACTAGTGCTGTCGATTCTGCTCTTCGCACCAGCGTATCTGCTCATTGGAGTCGGTCACGGATTCAGTCTCTACTTCTACATGCAAATCGTGATGTGGCTCGTGAGCTGGACCAGTGTGGGGATCGCCACTTTACTGCTTGGCCTCCTGAGCCGCGCACGTGTGGCAGTGATCGTTTACATGCTCTTACTGCTTCTTTTCGTGGTCTTCGCGGGTCTGCTCCTTAATGCTGACGATGTACCCGACTACTTCATTTGGCTGCGGTATATCTCGCCGTTGACGTTCGGGTTTGAAGCGTTGATGAAGCTATTCTGGAGTCGCACGGGCACTTTCGGTTGCGGAGGTGACCACGGACGAAATAGTGCTACGTTTGCTGCCACAGACACGATTCCTGGTTTGAGAACCGGCTCGGGAACGGAAATGGACGGCTGCTTTGGCCACTCGGGCGATGAAGTGCTCTCGCACTACAACTTGGATACGTCTCGAACTTCTCGATCCGATAGCCTCATTCTACTGGGGCTCGCACTGCTGTATTTCGTTCTTGGCTACGCTTTGCTGTCGCTCCGCTGGCGTCGATCCAAATTGCGACCGCATCGACAGGCGACGCGAAACGATGTTGAAAGTCCGCCGGCGTGAGAGTTTGCAGCCGGACATTGCGCAGGTGCAGGTGTTGCCGTGACCAGAAGATGGTACAAGTAGAGTAATAGTTGACAGTTGACGACGTGGAGGTGAACTTTGACACGTTTGGATGGTGTACGCCGAGATAATCATTATGCACTTTGTGGCTTTGAGGTGCATTGCTAAATGCAGCGAATGTCTTGACAAATGGGCAGTCGGGCGCTTGTCGTGTCTTCAGCACGGGCCAATGTCGAGACCAAAAGGTTTTCAGTGGCTACAGTCGAATGTTGACGCAATTACAGGCTTTTTTTCACAGAAGCGTAGATGGACTCTCTTTGTGTTCGGAAGTTCCATGCACAATCGTCACTGACTCGTCATTGGCATTTGGCGTGCGTTATTCCGTTGAATTTGCATGAAGATATAGAGCGACATTTCCGAATTTACGGAACTAAAGTAATGTCACCATGAATTGACTCCAGTTGTTGAGTGTAATTAGTCAGCTAAACTCAGATCTGCAAAGCTACAGTCATTTCAAGACAAGGAATATTCGCGTAACACTAAAGACCGAAGCAACACGAATCTAATATGTTTTATCCAGGTGGACGAACCTAGACTGAGGGTCTAAGCTTGTGCTTTCGAATATAAACGCGAAGACAAAAGTAAGCTTATTTTTTCACCCAAATGTACGAACCTAGACTACGGTTCTCAGTCGAGGTTCGTCCTTTAAGTAAAAAATAGTTAAACCGAGGATTTTAGTCAAGGGTCGTCTATCTGGGTAAAAACAGCTCGACATCGTTCGTAGCGAAGGCATCAAGGGGTGCGAGATACAATTGACCCAGTTGAAGTGTTCACATGCCCAACACCTGTGCGAGCTCATGTGATCTTCAATGTTTTCACATACCTTCTCTGTAGCCACACACCTTTGCCGACTCACTGATCATGTCCGAATGCGCGTGCAAATGCAATGTTTTGCCTGATCTGGTCGGGAAGCGTTTCGTGCTCGCGAGTTGAATAGGCAGGCGGGCTCACACGCTGCAGTTCCCTGACAAAGTCTTTCTTCAACATTCGACGCGTGCGCAAACGCGAGACGTGTTCATGAACCTGATTCTGCGCAATGTATGGGTCACGCTGCTAATCAACGCAGACCTGCCGTTTGCCGAACGCCGGTGAGCTACCGATGCTTTTAACACAGTGTAGCCAGCGGGTCGTACATAATGTGGTTTCGGTCGCTTTGACTTCTTCTGGCATCGCTGACCATGCTCAGTGTCGGAAACAGAGAAAACAGAAGCAATGACTTCTATATTGGACGCGCGCCAGACGCGTTTCAGCCCTCGGATGGGAGCCTCGTCAGTGGCGTTATCAAGCTCGAAAGGAGATCTTGCTCTATCCTGCGCCCAACGACCAAGACCCCTCTCGAACTTCATGGAACCACCTCAATCACCCACTATAACGACGAAACCTGTCAGCTGGGGCGTCGACCCGGAAGGGAGTGGCCGCTATGACAACTCCACTTCCAACCCTCCGGTGTTTTAAACGCGAGAGGGGGGCACAAACGTCTGCACGTGTATAAAACACCGTCTGCACAAAACTGCTACATGTGCACACATTCTGGCACTGTCGACTGAGCCAGCTACCACTCCTTCGCACGCCCGTCTCATCGAACCCGTTTAATTTAATCATCGAGCAGAGCCTCTGAGCCTCTGACCCTCTTTTAAACTCACTCAAAGCGTCCAAACCTGTGGCAACGTCCACTCAAAAGTCATGCGACTTTGCTGCCTCTTCGTCGTCGTAGGTACAATCGCTCACACCTGTGGCAGCGCCTGTGCAGAAGTCAGTAAATCCGTCCGAGACGAATACCCCAAGAGGTCGGATCTCGACTCGACTCGGCCAGTGAGGCACTTGACAAGTGTTCGTGTGCACGGCAGAGGAGACGAGAGCAGAGTGGCCAAACTGTTGCACAAATGCGTGAGGACGTTTTTGAGGTCACTTGGGCTCAAAGAGGCTGCGGACGAGATGAAGTACCGGTCGTGGAGCCAGAGAGGATATACTGGCGAAGATGTGGCGAAAAAAGTCACATATGGCGCTGAAAAGGCTGCGGCCAACAGAAAGCGCTGGCCCATTCACCAGTACGGAGGCTACCTCGACTATGTGAAAACCCAGGAACAGGCAAAAGCGCGAAGGAGGAGAGCTGCGCGCGTTGTGACGAAGGGTAGCGTTCGGTAGTGACGTCGCGTGTGGATGTAGCCTGGCGACTCACCTTGTGGTACATGGAACAAACTCTCCTGCACACTGGCACGGAGAAACGCAGCAACCGTCGAGTGCTCACTCATCATCTGCTGATCGTGTGGTAGGCTTTCCGAAAGCGTTCAAACTGTCAGCTTTTGATCGATCGAGCGTACGTCTTCAACTTGGCCATATTCATGAACTGTGTTGCCAGTCACTCAAACCTGCGTTTCTGTTCCCAGCAGCTCAAAGCAAACGTCTTGTGGAGCGTGCGAATTCGTAGGCAGGAAGTCACTGCCATTTGCATTGCTGCGCAAAAGCGCGCGAGACCACTTCCAAAGCTGCTCCATTGTACCTCGTCCGACCTGTCTTCATTTGCATCATGAGACGTGTAGTCTTGACAGATTGTAGGTACACGGCCCCATCCGCCTTGTTCAAGTCTGATCAGTCCATTACCGGCACATGTGTCTCTTTGTCCATTACGACGTCACTTGTCAAGCCTTTGGTTGCAATCAGGTTAGTCCGGTTCTACACTCGTTGGCATCGTCACGCGGCCTTTCATCCGTCGGTCTCCACCCTACCGCTTGACGGCTCGTAGTATCGAAGATGCGCTTCATATCCATTCTTGCGATCAACGCGGAAGGTGTTTTGCGCCTTCTGTACGAAAAAAAAGCTCGACGATGATGTGTCCAATGCGACTTCATTGTTGTTGCTGCGCAAGTGTGTGCTTCGCGAACTGCTACAAAAGCATGCAGCACTTCGTGCTTCGCCAGTATTCCACGACACGATTCACGCCATCGTATATTCCATCAGCATGTCCTTTGCATCGCGAAATCTGCGTTAGTATGCATGGACTGCTTGCTCGATGTTCTTGATGACTACCGAAGCATGGCTCACCAATAGCTGCTGTTAGCACGAGAATACACCCCGGACGGAAAATGTGTTTGTTTGCACCGATCAGAAATGAAGCTCTATCGTGTAGCAGGGGAGCACAGATCCATCGACTAGCCTGCCGAAGTTAGCGCATGCTGCATCCAGCCGGCCGACTTTTCACTTTGAGGTTTCTAGTGGGCCTTTGTCTTGTAGTCATGTCTTTTGTCAGTCATAACCACAGGAGAAAACGCGTGTCAACACCAGAACTACACTGTTGTTTCGTTACTTGTTGTTAGCTCCAGTGTCGATAGTTATTTGCATTCTCAGCTAGCGAGGTTGTGATTCAGGCGGGTGTTGCGTTACATGAACCATTTTCGCTAGTGGCTGGTACGTCAAGTTACTTCGAGTCATGACTTTCGAGTCACTTGACGTTGTTGCATAGTCTTCTGCAAGTAGTGACCAAACCTTGTATTAGTAGCCATCTTGAGCTGCAATGGTGGGCTACTGGTCAGCCCCAGTGATGAACAATGCATCGTGCAGTTCCAAGCTTGCATTCAGACACTTCAATCTTTACCTCTCGTGATTGCTTGTGGCGGCCAGCTTAGCTCACCGGTTGAAAGTGGTGCAATCCGTTGCCACTATTTCGCACCGTTTTGGACTTCTCGCATTTCAGCCTTCTCTCTCACGCCCATCTATCAATCAAACCTCGATCGATGTGGTGCGTAGTTCCAGACGATTCGTTGCGACAGCCAATCGATTTCGAATGCATCAGAACAGCATCAGGGGTCGCAATCGACAGCAAGCAAGCAATCTCCATCCCAGCGCTTTTTGTAGTAAGCAGCAATGCGACGACCATCGTCTCGCAAAGCTGCCCATTCAAGCTGCTCATCAATTGTCATACTTGGGAGTAAATTCGTAGTCATGTGGTAGTCAGTCTCAGTGTCGTGCAGCATCATACCCTCGCTCACTTCGTCATATCGGAGACGCTGGTGACCACGGACAATGGACATTCTTCGCAAAGGATCGTTACTGTACACTGCTCGTTTACCAAATGGGATCTTGCGTTTAAGAGATCGCCCGACGCCATCTTGCTGCAACCCTCCTTCTGGCAATCCCGTGATATCGGCAAGCGTGTTGAGGAGGTCGTATTGCTCTGCAGCATCGTCAATCACAGTCCCGACGCTATCACCCAGTCGGCCCTCGGCAATGATGGCAGCTGGTACGCGTGTAATCGATTCCTCAAAAAAATTTGGAACGTCACTCCCAGGTGCCTGACCGTGGTCCCCAACGATGACAACAATAGTGTCGTTGAGTATACCCTCCATCTCCATACGGTCCATGAATTTCCCCAATTCCATATCGGTGAAGTACCTCACCTTCATATACCTCTCGATTCGGTCGGCGTGCTTCTCACCATCGTACAGCTCGGTGAAATCGGGCTTGTCGGCATCCTCATACCATTTCGGCCACGAATTGTACGGTTCGTGGCTCGAGATGGTGTAGTGCGTCAAAAACAAAGGCTTCTTTGGCTCTCCTCGAGCCAACCTTTCTTTCTGTTCTTGTTTCTTTTCCACAAACAAGTCTCCCAGAAGCTGAAAACTAAGATCGTCATGCACGCCCCAGTACAGTGCTCGAGTCTCTGCACCATCCCAGTAGTCGTCCGAGATACCGAGCTTTTCCTCTGCCAACGCTTTCATTTTAGTGACTTCCCACACGGTATCAAAGCCATGGCTCGGAAGAAAGATGTCCCAGTTGTCTAGGGTGATGGAAGATCCTGTAGTAAAAAACGTCTCGTATCCTTTCTCGGCAAATAGCTGCGGCACACCTGAAAGCTTCGTGTCATTTCTTCCTCCAGTGATACCAGATTTGCAAACGCTTTGGTAAGGAACCTGGGCGAACTGTATACTTTCCAACGAGCGACTTGTGGGCATACTCGACCAAATGTTGCGTAGCGCCACGCCGCGTCTTGCCCATCGATCAAAGTTCGGAGTAATCGTCATGTCTGTGCTCCTGAACAAGTCCGACGGGTCCTCTTCTCCCACGAGATAGCGCGAGTCGCGAAACCGAAACGACTCGACTGCAATGATCAGCACATTTGGCGGGTCAGCGGCGTCGACACTGACGTTGAACGCCAGGTCACCTTGGAAGCCCGAAGTGCGTCGGTACAGTGTGTTGTTTCCAAAACGCTCATGCAGCTCTGTGGCATCGATATATTTCTCGATCCACGGCTGACCGCCATTGACATTTGTAGGCTCCACATACTTGAACGAAGGCTGAAATGCCTGTATAAATAACTCGTTCAGTGTCGCATTTAGCGCTATATATGCGACGAGAGGAGAGCACGCACTACAAAGTGCCATCACCATCGACGGAAGAGCGACAAGTCCCACTACAATGGTAGACGCTTGCAGAGCATGATAGTACTTGTGTTTTCGTTGCACGTTTTCACCACTCGATGGCGAGCCGATTCCGATGGTCTCAGCATCCGTAGGGCTATCGGTACATCCATCCTCCAGAGCCACCGCTTCATACATCACGCCTTGTACTGACTTCCCACTGACTTTCAAGTTCAAGAAACGCGCCGGGGCTTGCAACAGCTGCGTTGGATTCCACAGTGCTAGGTCAGCCCAGCTACTTAGCACACGCACAAGTGCAAAGAAGGTGGCGATAACAACGAGGAAGCCCGCAGTCCCGTATGCCGCGTAGGCTTCCTGAGTAGAAATCGGAGCAGCTTTGAGATGGTCTCTCTCTCGAAACAAAGTGGCCGACAAGCCAAACGAGAACCTCATATGCTTGTACACGACGAGCATCAGGTCCATGACGGGTGGGGCCACCGCAGCGAAACACAACAGCCACGAGACCACAAACGCTGTTATTGCTCCAGCCGTTCTGATTGCCATTCCATTCGATGCCCAAGCGCGCTTTGCCAACGAGCATCGCACGGTGTCGAAGAGCCACAGAGTCGTTGCAAAATAAGTGGCACAGACGACGTCTTCCAGGAAGCCAACGCTCAGCGCCAACACTTTGACCACTGCAGTGTTGTCCTTCGGACTTCCGTACATGTCGAGCAGCGCCGGTAGAGCGAGACACCGACTGATGGAAAAGAAGAAGAGGGCGAAAGCGTAGACGAACAGCCACCCGAGCCACGGCATCGCGTCGACATCGGATGACTGGAACGACGTGCGAGACCAGCGCCGACGTGAGATTTCGGTATCCGATACACTGTCACCAGTGAGTCGTTCAGCGCTTTGTTCGTCCGCGTCAGGGGAACAAAGTTGAGGGGAAGGAGAGTGCTCGGGACGGCCGTTCCAGTCCATGAGGAGCGTCTTCGTGGCGGCTGAAGGGATTATGTCCGACTACTGCACGTCTGACGTGTCTGCCAGTGGGACGTCTCCGGTACAATGGGGTTACGAACGGACGATTTACTTGTCCCGCGTGTTGTGAAGATCGCCACACTGCTCCAGATCTGAGCCACAGGATTCGCTCTGCGATTTGCTGTCGCGGCTGTCTCTTCCGCAGATCCAAACAAGATCAGCTGTAGTGCTGCACGAACAATAAAGCAATTTCGAGAGTTACGCCGGTATTGTTGTTGACTTAAGTCACAGGCGCGGCCGGCGGGCTCCACGTCCAAACAAAGCATTCGACAGCGCCGCATGACGCACGTGAACAATGCCAGCGCTATAGATCTGACCACACCGGACAGCATTGGACGAGTCGTGGCGTGGTGAGACTGCGATCAGTAGCCTGTCATGTTTTGCTACGATGGAAAGAAGCGGATCCACGCGAGGATTGTCGCCGTGAACAGAGAGGATCAATGGTAACAGCTACGTGCCAAGCGCTTTGGTGGGTCTACGATGCAACATCGTGCAGCACCGACAGGTTGTAGTAAATGTTGCTGTTCGGCGCGCAGGCCATTTGTTCAACGCATATCGGGATACGCATAGTGGGAAGTACCCACAGTACTTGCCCTCGCCTTGTCACAGACGTCGCACACACGTTTTCGTAACGCAGATAGTGCTGTCGACCTCAACTTGGAATCGCACTTGATAATTACTGCTTTGGGAAACGTCTCAGAGCAGAATGTTTGTCGCACAAATGAGACAGTAATTCTCAAAAGGAGGAATCGATATCATGCATCACAGAACTAACAAATAAAAAGTACGATACAAGATTAGAGGATATCGAATTGCACACCCGATCTATTACGGTGAAAAAAAGCAGTACTTGATTGTAAATACTGGAAAGCTTTACTCACTACAAAACCATTCTTGCACGCAGAATGAGACTCACGGCAATGTAAACTAGATATATAACGAGGTGAACCCTTCAAAGGTCTTGAACATTAAAAATGTATCAATGTGAATACAATTTATATAAATAATATGAATTCGTACACCTGCCTTAGAAAATACAGAAGGAATACTACGTTCAAAGGTGCTATTCTAAGCCGCTTCACTGATTAGTTGATTTAGGCCATGATATCAGCCAAATTGAACACCAATCGCTGCTAGACGCGCGGCCGGTGAGCGAGATTTTGCATAGATGTTCCGGGTTTGACATTATTTAGTAACACCGTGAAGTTTCAACAGAAAGAAACTTGAATATATTGAATATAGCTCTACGACTCCCTACCCTGAGCATCATTTGCTCTGCGATCTTGCTCCCTCCAGCGCTCACCTTTACGTGACGTCCGAAAACACACAATATTGTATTGATATACGTACAAGGTGTTGAAGATCGACAGTGTCGCATGAGCTTAGACGCTGCACGGAGAGCCAGTGAGTGTCGACGTCTCGATACATGATGAAGAAAAAATGATGCGACGCATCGAACAGCCACGACTGTTGGGGGACGGGGCGACCGATGGCAAGAGGCGACTGATGGAGAGATGCGACTGATGTAAAGAGGCGACTGATGGAAAGAGGCGACTTATGGAATGAGGCACAAGAGTGTTTTAGGGTAACGTTCGGGTTCGAGTACTGCAGGCTAAGTCGTCTAATATGTATTTTTCTTTTCCCATTCTACCATCTACTGCACAACTTACCGGAAAAGTACACAAAGTCTTTCCCGCAAGCTAGTTGGTAAGAATCAAGCCTCATTTCAATTGGTATGGATCAAATTTGAGTGCGCTTCATTACAATATAAGCGTATATTTGATAGTGATGAATGTGTTTTAGCTATATCATGTGTCGAATATAAACATTGTAATGGATCACTTTCATTGCTGTCAATAACACTAGCATGGATTAAAAATATATCGTAGTTTGTTGACATTACATAATGCTAATATTGCGGAGTAAATACTGAAAAGTATTAACGTCGATGGTAGAATTTGGCACTGATGCACCTATCGTTTGATACCGACTATAAGCATCAAGCATTTTAAATCAACCGTCACTGGTAGACGCGCGTAATAAGTAATGAACCGGTAGCTGCACTGGTTAAGTAAAACCTGATACAGTGAATGTCAGCTCACATATTTATAATTGATAGAATTTGACCATAGCTATGTGCCAGTTCTACCTTTTCTTTTCATATAAATTTTTGTTTACTGGGTTCAGCTTCCTCAGCACATACATTGCGAAGGTGGTGTTAAGGCACCTAAAATAAGTGCATTTATGAGAAGTAACATGTGATGTGTCATTACAGGCGCTCGATATATCCGTTGCAAGTTGATACTTCGGATGCAGCCGGGTACTAAGTATACGCCGGTAAAGTCTGCTAGGTATTGCTTATTAAGTCCATAGTTTAGGTATTTCTAAAAGGTTCTCTGCACAAGTGCACATGTTGCTGCGGCGTCTGACGCATAGCACTGAGATAGCGTACTTTGTGGTCGGTAAGCCACCGAAAAGCCCTCCTTCGGCGGAGGGCCGAAACGCATCTGTCACGCGAATACAAAGTCTTCCTGTCATTCGCTCTCTTTTTCTACAGTTTAGGTATGACAAAGCTCAGTGGGGGAATGCATGGTCCATGTGTTTCATCAAGTTTGTATGCAACAAATTAGATTATCGATATCTGTTCTATTCAAACAAATGACTAAAATTACACATTATTTGCATTTCACCGCGTGGGAGATTATTGGTTTTATATCAACATAGGATGCGAGATGGAAGCTGGAGCAAGTGTGTAGAATGTTACAACTCATTACGTAATCGGCAAAATTAGTAGGTTGAGAAAAAGTTTAAGAAGAAAGAATATAATAGATTGCAGTTAAAGATTATGTGCCTGATAATTAGGCAATCGAACGTTATGTAGATATATTAGCTGCGTGATGAATAGGCATCTGTACCGAATAGATCGACGCGAATATAATATTAATAGGATAGGAGATTTGTAATGGGTTACTTTAGGAAATTGGGTGTGCAACATCGATAGTCTCAAGGTAAATGATATGTTTTATATATTGTGGTGTTCATCATTAAAGTGTGTTTGATAAGGTAGCTTTACTTTTACTATATATTCATATTTATTAACAGTGTAGTACAGGTATTACAGCTCATTTCGAAGACATATAGAACGTAAATGGTCGTGTTCCTCTTTATGGGTACGACATATGTAACGCAAATCGATATTATATGCGACCACAAATCGGTACAAGGGCAACTCGATACGATTAAAGATTAATATTCATGGTTAATGCGGACGTCCGAGGAATCATAGCAGAGTTTAGAGACCAAAGGCAAAATGAGTCGTAGATGGTAACATGTATGAAAAAATACCAACGATGAAATTAGAGGGTGAATTGCAAAGGTCGTGAAAGCTTAAAGGCAAAAAAAGCATATGCAACGATGAATCCTAACATTAACTTTTAACTCATTTGAGTTGGAAGGAAAACGTAAACCCATGAAGTAGTATTCCAATCATGCCAAAATAAAGGCGCTCAATGAGAAGAGAAAACGAAGTACATCCCTTTTCAAATAAACCCAGAATTTTAAATAGAAGAGTGCCGAGACTTCTAAGGCAAATGACTCACTACATATACAGTGGCTAGTATCACATAATTTGGCGGCTTCAGTTGTAGTATTTCCATATCATGCAGTTGACAATATAGTTGCCGCAATGTACATCTACAACGACTTATACTTCGATCTATATGTTATTGTTAAATCTATACAGATTAAAAAGCGATCACCGCTCCCGCTTTACTTGAAAATTAATGTAGTTCAGATCGAACCATGGAAATGAATGTCGTCCCGATGCATACAAAAAGAGATAGGTGATGAACCGAGCAAATCAAATAGTACATGGAGGCTACAGCCATTGGTCGATTTTTGGTGTAGCTGTTGCTAAAACGTGGAATAGAAGGGTATGTATTTTTTAAGAGGCAAAAAACAGTATAGACGAATGAGTTAAGCCTTCATAACCTTTATTGTGACGCCACAGAAAATATATTTACGTGGGGAGGCGCATCATCTACGTCGCACTGATGAAGATAAAAATTATTGGCACCGACAAAGGTGCTTTAGCTGATCCGAGAATGAAAGCGCTATGCTCACGATGTATAAAAATCTCATCGTATATAATGTCAGTGCTTGTATGGTATCTGAGCGCTTGATCCACGCATTGGGCGTTTAATTTTGACGCCATGAGCTTGATAAAAGCAAACCACATGAGCACGATTGTCGAAAATCTCCAAGTGCGCGTCATGGTGAGATCGGCTGAAACATAAAAACGAAAAGCGTAGATATAAATACGGTTTACATCATTTCAAAATGAAAATTGCGCAGTATTATTCATGGGGGTAGTAGCAAACTACAATTTTTTATCATTATCTAGGCTTGAAAAACGCGGCACATATGTGCCACGACGAACAGGTTTCAATTATCTTCTGTAGGTAATATTGCATGTCTAAAATGAATCTCATGGCAAGAAAAAAAGTTATCCGTGGCGAATTGTGACATTACAAACCGGTCTCGTTCGATTTTACACGTTGCGAAGTAGGATAATATAGCTCATCTAACTCAAACAAATTTGATAAACGCTAGGTTTGAATGGGCATTTTATATGCTATAAGTAGTTTGTAATAGCCCCCGAGCGCCGCTCAAATTTGAGTCGCGTGAGCGACATTTAGAATCTAAAATTTCGTAAGTGGCATATACCGAACATGGAGATGGTATCTTGATGAGAAATGGCGTGACCAAGAAGTATTCATAGTGGCCAGGCGTACGTGGAAACACTTACCGACGAAAGGTCCTACAATTAGTCGAAATTCTGTATAGCTCGTAATTAAGTAAAACTGGAATTTTGCCGCATAATCGGTTAAGACTCATCACTGGTTGCCCGAATGGACGATCATAACGGCAGTTCAGTCGGAATA